CGAGATAGTGGCGAAGGAAAATCATGGCCTTAGCCTTTTCTTGGCTTGATGCTTCATTTAAAGGATTTACATCCTTTATGGTGTTTCCAAGACCTATAGCATCAAGGTGAATTTCAGCATCAAGGATCCATGATAAATAATTTTTTCCACTAATGTCAAGAGCCATAAACTCAAGTTTGCTAATGTTTGCCATAGTGAAAGTACTAATCAAAATAAAGAGTTGTATATTAGAGGATTGTTAGTTAAGAAGTATCATAAGATTACTTGTGAGCATTAAATAACTTGTGAGCATTATACATATGAACTTTGAAAACAAAAATTATATATATATATATATATATATATATATATATATATATATATATATATATACCTGACAACGACAAGAACGGCAACAAGTTGGAACTCTATGGTAGAGCCTCGTGCTGATAACGTGTTATAAAATATGATCAAATAACAAGATAAATTATAGAGTAAAGAAAGACATGAGAGTAGAGAGAACTTTTATTTAAATACTTGTGATGAAATTATCAAGTGCCTAATACATATGGATCACTATTTATACTATCCAAATAAGATGAAAGATGAGCTATAAAATGAATGCACATTATGATGGCGTATTATTACATTCATAAAACATATTGAAATGGTTGTTACTAATGCTAAATAATGATGAAGAGTTATGGGAGAAATGGAGAATCCAATGGTCATTCACAAACTAATATTTCATAACAGTTCTTAGTTTGTAAAATCATATTAATAGTTTGATTGGGTTTCGTGGTCCGGTGTGTAACTAATATAAACTTAAAAATATAATTATATAACTGATGAATATTTTACTCAAATGTATATGTTTCACCTTAATAAAACGTGAAATTCTTTAATATAAAGATAAAAAAATATCAAAATTATGTTTAATGATATTAAATAGTATATCTTTCAGTGCATTAAAAATAAGGAAATTTATAGAAAATCTCATTATTTTGGAAAAATTCAAGATTAAGTCATAAAAAAAAAACACAATAGAAAAACACAAGAATCTAAAAGATAAAAAAAAAATCACTTTAACACCTATTGACTTATTCGGTATGTCATGAGACAAAATCGTAAATTTTCCTAACATAATGGAAATTTTCTACAGATTTCTTCAAAATTTGTATATAAAATATAAACATATTTTTATGTATCTATATGTATTCCAAAGTATTTTTATGTATATATTTTTTACGTATTTAAGTATTTTTTATGTTTTTTTATATAGTTTTTTAAATTTATTTTTTTATTTTAAATGTATAAATATATTGTTTACATATTTATATGCATTTTTAAGAATTTTTTGCTTACTTTTATGTATTTTGGTATATTTTCACATATTTATGTATTTTTAAGCTGTTATATAGTTTTATGTGTTTTAAATTATAAACATATTTTTTTACGTATTTATATATATTTTTAGTATTTTTTTTTATGTATTTTGGTATTTTCACTTTTGCATTTATCTAGTTTATTTTATTTTATTTATTTATTATTATTTTTTTACTTCAAATTTCACTGTAAACTAATATTAGATCTTGTAAATGAATAAAAAAACACTATAATACTTTAAAACAAATATTTTTTTAAAGATGATCCTTTGTAATCAACATAATTTTTTGAAGGTAAATTCTCTCATTTTTTTTCTTGAATCCAATTTGTAGATGAATAATGTTTACGAATATCTCTTTTGTTAGTAAAAATATTCATAAATATTGTTCGTCTACAAACCGAATTCAAGAAGAAAAGGAAATACTTACTTACAAAAATGACGTTGATTGCTAAGGATCATCTTTGAAGAATATTTATTTTGAAGTACTATATTGCTTTTTTTTTTCATTTACAAGTTCTAATCGTTAGCATACAATGAACCTATGAGTAAAAATACATAAATACGTAAAAACAATATACCAAAATACATAAAAATATATAAAAATACTTAATAAATACATATAAATACGTAAAAAATGTTGCATTGTTATTCAAAATAGTCCAATTATAAACACATAATTAGACGTAGTTAGCAACATAAGATTTCGATTTTAAACAAAATAAAACTAGTTTTATACCCACAAAATATCATTTTGCAAGAGTTTAGAAAGATTAAAACAATTGTTATAACATTTGAAGACTTTGATTTTCATGGGAGATGGAAGTTGATAAAGATGACAACAAACTTCAAAGAAGGAGCTCACCGAGATATCCACCAACAATTTTTCAACTTGATAAGATGCTAGTATTCTTTTTGTAGTAAAAAAATCTCTTAAGTTCTTAAGCTAAAGAAACTAGTTTGTCTTAAGAAAGAGTATTTAGGTATCATTTCTTTCATGCATGTTCTTGATATATCTTGGGAGATTTTTAGAGAAAATAAGTAAGCTAGAGAAGTGGAAGAATTTCACACAAGAAAAGATGAGAGTGAAATCCTTTTGACTCTTTCATCTTTACCCAATGTGTTCTTAAACATTTGAGACACTATGCCTTTTACTTCCTATGCTTAAGATCATGTCTATCACACTTCCAAAGCATATCTTATTGATTCACATAACCAAATAGCTTCCTTTATTTTCCCCTAAAGTATTTTCAATCATATTTAAAAAAAAAAGAAGTAATTATGCGACTTTTAGGTGCCAAAGGTGCTAGTCGCATAGCCAGTCAGCTAACCGTCCTAGCCGCCTCATTCCACTTCAAGTTTGCATCAAACTACAACCCAATGTCTAATGGCCATCTTGGAACATACACGGGAAAGTCAAGAGACGGTAAATCGACAACTGCTAGCTCTATTTAAGGTGCATGCACCAATACCATGGCTAAGGCAATCGCATATGTAACATCCCAAAAATACAGGCCAAAATTTTCGTTTTAAATACCTTATTATAAAACCAACTGTATTATAAAACATCCATAATATCATTTCATGTCAAAACCAAAGTAGAAATAATCAAAACATGTTATCATAAAACAATATCAGAGTGTAATCCCAAAGATCTCATGTGCGGAAAACCATAGTATGATGCGTTGCGATCGAGCTGGCTCCTTTCCTTTGAAAACGAAGTACCTGAAACCAAAACTGAAAACCGTAAGCATGAAGCTTAGTGATTTCCTCCATCATACCACATACCATATAACACACATACAGTTGTGCATATCCAGGTGTTGGCCTACCCCTTGGGTATCTTTCAACCGATATCTGGGGATTGTTTCACCCCTTATCACTACCACATAATAACATAGCATAACATACATAAATATACTGTAAGGCATATCTGGGTGCCCGACCTACCCCTTCGGTATCTTTCAACCGGTAACCAGGAGCTAACCTCCCCATCGATATCTTTCAACCGGTAACCGGGGACTATTTCACCCCTACCACCATCACATAATAACATGTCATAAACATATTGATTCCATGATAACATAACATAAACATACTCATCACATAATGGCATATCATAACCATACTGGTCACATAATAACATAACATAACGTACTGCTAGAGATGCATGGGTTCTGACTACCCCTTCGGTATCTTCCAACTGGTGTCCGAGGATTATTTCACACCTACTACAACCAACACATATAACAGAGCATCTTAGAACATAGAGCATATCAAATAGTTGCAAACCAGACAATTATCACAAAGACAATCGTCTCATACATAGTTAGTGGGATGACATTGGTGCCTTAGACCCACCTTTACTGGAAGGTAACTCACCTCACACTGCAGAAGTCCTACAGACGAAACTCTAGCTGCCGGATGATAGGTTCTCAAACTGTAAATCAACAAAATAACACCCAAATAATGATTGGGTTCCAACACAAAAATCATAAATCCATGCTTGGGGTAAAAGACTGCTTTACCCCTATCTTAGCTTGATTTAAGCCTAAGGCCCAATCCAAAGGCCTAAAAGTCAAATATGAGTCAAAGCCCAATATATGGCCTAATTTTTCAAATTAGGCCCAAACCTTTACAAGGTCTTAACATAAGGCTCAACCATTTAGTCCAATCCAACATTCAACATTCTGATGGCCCAATATCATATAATCATAAAGGCCCAAACTATGGCCCATCTATGGCCCAATTTTCCAAATTAGGCCTAAGCCCTCATATGGACCTTACCCCAAAGCCCATCAACATATTCTAGTCCATATGGTTATTCTTGGATGGCCCATTAGTAACCCAACTACCAAAGCCTAATGGAAAGGCCCAATATAAAGCCCAAGTGAAATTAGGATTTCACATAAAATGACAATTAGGGTTAAGTATTTCTCACTTAGCCCATTAAGTACTTAATTAATTAAGTCCATCATTCTTCTAATTAAATCATATGGTGTGATTGGGCTTAATACATAATTCCATTCCAATGGCCTAAATGTGGGTCCTGATAAGTCCAAGCCCATAAATCCAATATTGGGGTTTCCGATCCCATCTTAGCCCAATAGGCCCAATAGCTAGGTCTTTTGATTAATTAGGATTCATTAGGCCCATTAATCACATGTTTGGGCTTTTAAGTAAATTAGGGCTTTATTGGGCCCATTAAGGTTTCATTCGGCTCATTAAGGTTTATTAGGCCCATTAGGGTTTTCGTCCTATTGTCTAAACATCCCAATCGAGTCACAATACAAACGAGGCACACCACCACCCGACATGGCGGCCAGTGGCAGTAGGAGGCGGCAACCACCACCCTATGGTGGTGGTTTCGAGCTTTCATTTCATTCTTCCGACATTATTACAGTTTATAATGCAAAATCTCAAAATAACACACACTCACACTAATACAAACATACACACATAACCACCCTTGTGGTGGTCGGCGGTGGCACATGGTGGCAGCTACCACCTTACGGTGGTGGGGGTGAATCTTCCGTGAACTCTGACTAAACAAAACACCCAAATACACACTTCAATAATAGTACACACTCCATCCACCTACTTGTTGGCTCACGACGGCGACACTGGTGGATTTAGGATGGCATCAACCACTTCACGATGGTGGCAGTGGGGTTTTCTTCACCACTCCGGCCAAAGAACGCTCCTGCAACATTATATCATCACAACATACGAGCACCAACACCACAACACGGCCATAGCCACCCTTCACGGTGCCCAATGGCAGCATAAAAGCATTCCCGGTGACAGCCATCATGGCTGGTTGCCATGGTGGTCTTCTTGCGTTCTCCACCCAACCTTTCACCTACACATACCTGCGGTGACCACTGAAACAGGCTCAAACACCACGACATGGCTGAGATACAAAAACACACACAACACTGCCACTCATAGGGTGGTTTGCGGCGACCTGGAAAGGGTATCGTCGAAATGCGATAACCATCGGGCGGAGATGGCGACACACATGAGGGAAATGGAAGAAGAACGAGAGAGAGGGAAAGGGTTTGCCATTCCCAGAGAAGGTAGATGCACAACGACCCTGACGTCGGCCTTCAATCATATATTTGTAGACGACAAAACAGCAACGATAGTGCTCCGCTCAATTGGTGGCTCAACTGGTCGGAAGAACTGGATCATAGGTGGTGGTGTTTCGATAGCTGGCGATGCCAGAGGTGGATGGGAGGTATAAGTGTGAGTGGTGATGGTTCCACATGGTCCTTAGGGTTAGGGTTTGCTTTATCATAAATACCCATTACTACTCCAAACTTGTTGCCATACTGGCATAAATGGTCCCTCCCTATGACATTTTCTTTCAAAGTTAGGCCAATATTTACCATTTAAACCCTCAGCATCAAAATCCATTACAATTAAAGTCTAATGATCAAACTTCAGCCATGTTAACATTTCTACTCCCTCATCCTTTCATTCTTTTCAACTTAAGTTCCAATAATTACCACAGATCCCCTGTCTTCATAAATATTTACAACCAGATTTTGGATTTTACACTTTTAACCCTCAACTTCTAAATTATGCCAATTAACTCCTCGAAACCAACACCTTGCCTATATAATTATTGATTTTAGGGATACTATACATTCATCAATTTATTTATTTATTGAATAAATAAACGGGGTGTTATAACTCTCCCCCACTTAAATTAGATTTCATCCCCGAAATCATTCCTTACCATCCTTACGTGCCCAATCACTCTAGTAACATGTTCACCATCCACTCTGTCTAAAATCTTCTATCTTGAGATGGCCTGATCCCTTGACAGACCACTCATACCGAATCATTATCAATGAAACCAGCTTGGTTATCCCTCAACCGACTTCTCAACTTATGATAACTCATGGTTCCCACTATAAAACAGGGTCACAAACCCAATTATCCTTGCAGTTCGCTTGTAATTGACCCATGCTCGAATACTCCCGCTGTGAGTGACTTATCGCTTCCCAGTCAACCAACTATTCCGATCGTAGACGTAACCTAAAACACCATTACTAATACTGCCAATCGCGGAAACTGCCTGAAACAACATGCTGCTACACGACCGATTTCTAAAATCTACAAAGGTCTTCTTGGTCTAAATTCGTTCGTTAGTCATCTGAAATACCGAGTTCCAGCCCGGTCGTTGAGCTAAAAGGGCTCCCATATAGTCATCTCAAATAACTTCTAAACGAAATCCATCTCTGGAACTAGTTGCCACTAGTTATCATGTCACTGAGGCCCTAATAACATTCTGATCTAAATGATCAGATCCATGCCTCAAATCCTGACATCACCAAGTCCAAGGCTAAAAGTGATTGCCACCTAACCGATGGTAGCCTTATATTACAAGCAATCTTATACAGTCCATTGCTTCTCTGATCCTATAACTGTAGTGGCGCTCCTATAGTCTTATCATTGGCTCAACCAGATCTTATCCATCTGGGTAATTTCTGAAATTCAATTCGTGGTTTTCCATATCCTCACTGCTGCACCCGAATTGTTGGGTACTAGTATTCCTTCCGAAATCTAAAAACACGCTCATGCCATCTACAAACCTAGCGAATGCTACGACTACACCCGTAGTCTCACGACACTCTATCACAATCTGATGGCTAGTGAATGCTACGACTACCCCCACTATCTTACAACACTTCCCATCTTAACTGACCACTAGTGAATGCTACGGCTATCCCCATAGTCTTACAACACTTCCCACGCTAACTGACCACTAGTGAATGCTACGGCTACCCCCGTAGTCTTACAACACTTTCCATACTAACTGACCACTAGTGAATGCTACAGCTACCCCCATAGTCTTACAACACTTTCCATACTATCTGACTACCAGTGAATGCTACGGATACCCCCGTAGTCTTACAACACTTTCCATACTATCTGACTACTAGTGAATGGTACAGATACCCCCGTAGTTTTACAACACTTTCCAAACCCGTTTGAACACGCACTCGACCTAACATACCACTGAACTTGATTCCTAACCAGAACTCTAACTTGGTTCCCAAAACCTGCTATCATGTGACTCCACTGTATTAGTAGCGCACCCATGCCCATGATCAAAGAGTCACAATAAACCACGAAATCATCTACACCCTCTGGAAGGGTGAGACTCGGTGTATTGCATAACCGCTGTCTGAGAGTCTCGAAGGCTGCCTGTTGCTCAGGCTCTCAGCAAAAGGCCACTGATTTCTTGGTCAGTCGGGTCAAAGGAAGTGCAATATCGGAGTAGTCCTGTATAAATCTCCAGTGATAACCTGCTAGACCCAGGAAACTCTTAATTGCAGATGGAGACCTCGAAATTTCCCAATGCATCACAACATCTATCTTGACCGTATCGACTTGAATACCCTTCTTGTTGACAAGGTGCCCAAGAGATTGCACCCTGCGCAACCAGAACTCACATTTGCAGGACTTTAGAAAAAGTCCCTCCCCCATTTAGATTCAACTAAGTCTTCACGGCATGTGAGAATTGAAGGATTCCTAATCCTTCTCGCTTTCTAGTATCCTAGTGATGAGAACCTATGCTTACTAATGCTAGCGATTAATCACCGGTTAAACCTTAAGATCACCCATACTTAGAAATCTTGATGAGTACTCTTGAAATCTGGTCCAGTCTGACACCTCAATCCACCTCCCATGCTAACAACTAGAGGCTCTAATCTTCACTCTGGCTGATGAGTCCTCATTCCCACATCCAATCTCGCAACACCACTGAGCTCTATCCGTACACAACTCATGCGAAAATACAATTCTCTTCAACATCCGATGACCAACCACTTATGCATCTAACACCTGCAACTAACACTACCTGCTTCATGTTACCAGTTCTTTCCTAGCAACGGTAGTGCCTTGAACTCCAAAGTTCATCTATAGAAAATTTTCGACCACACCTGAACAATGATAGAACCCCTCAACATTGACTTTACTAGAGAACTATCACTCTAACCCTGAATGAGTATCATGTAAATAATACTCCTGCATTGATGTCGACAAAGATCCAGAATGATAACAGTACGTCCCTCTGTGGGTTCATCAAGGACTTTTCGGCATGCAGGATGGCATATATGATCCTTGATAACTGGGATCTAACTCCCCTTCGGTATCTTTCAATTGGTAACCGGGGACTATTTCACACCCTACCACTATCACATAATAGCATGTCATAAACATATTAATTCCATGATAACATAACATAAACATACTCATCACATAATGGTATATCATAACCATACTGGTCACATTATAACATAACATAACGTACTGCTAGACATGCATGGGTTTTGACCACCCCTTCGGTATCTTCCAACCGATATCCGGAGATTATTTCACCCCTACTACAACTAAGACATATAACATGGCATCCTAGCACATAGAGCATATCATATATTTGCAAACCAGAAAATTATCACGAAGACAATTGTCTCATACATAGTCAGTGGGACGACATTGGCGCCTTAGACCTACCTCTACTGGAAGGTAACTCACCTCACACTGCTGAAGTCCCACAGACGAAACTCTAGTTGCCGGATGACATGTTCTCAAACTGTCAATCATCAAAATAACACTCAATTAATGATTGGGTGATAACACAAAAATTATAAATCCATGATTGGGGTAAAAGACTGCTTTACCCTTATCTTAGCTTGATTTAAGCCTAAGGCCCAATACAAAGGCCCAAAAGTCAAATATAAGTCAAAGCCCCATATATGGCCCAATTTTTCAAATTGGGCCCAAACCTTTACAAACTCTTACCATAAAGCCCAACCATTTAGTCCAATCCAACATTCAACATTCTGATGACCCAATATCACATAATCATAAAGGCCCAAACTATAGCCCATCTATGGCCCAAATTTACAAATTAGGCCCAAGCCCTCATATGGACCTTACCCCAAAGCGCATCAACATATTCTAGCCCATATGATTATTCTTGGATGGCCCATTAATAACCCAATTACCAAAGTGTAACATACACGTTCAATTATCGTGAATTGTAAATTATAAAAGTGAATAATATTATGAAATATTGTGTAAATTTGAATGTTGAGTTCTAACAGATGGTTTTTACTAGAAATAAAGTAAAATTATGCTTACAATCATTCAGAAAGTATTGGAAGTCTTATGAGATTCCAATCAAATGTCATATAGTGAAAATTAGCAAAAATATAAAATTTGAAATAAGTAAAATTTTATTATTTAAAGTTATAGATAATTTCGTTAGAAACATATAGGTGAAAACCTCATCCAAATCCGAGTTATAACGAAGAAGTTATTATCAATCGAAGATCCGTGACAAAACCGGCACGACGCCGAATGACGTAAAAAGTGAGTTTTTGATAAATGACTTTTTAGCCTTGGTGATCTAAATTAAAGTCGTAGTATTTGTTAAACCGAGAATATTGAAAAAAAGAATGCCAAAATCTGATTTCGTATGAGAAAGTTGTGATTTTTCTAATTTCGGAATAGTAGTAGATAGCTAAAAACTCGAAATAAAGATGGAGCGATATTTGGCCGACACAACCTAAACAAGAATTGAAAGTCTCGTCAATAGTAGTACAATGGTAAAAGGTATGACAAATACAGACGTCGGATGAAGAAGTTATGAATTCTTAAAGGATTTTCTTGTCCCGGTTTGTTAAAAATAATAATATTAAAAATAAAGTCAAAATTAGCCAATAAAACTTAACAAAACTTGTAGAATATATTCTCGCCTACACGTGCATATAAAAAACGTCAAAAACGGAGCATGTATGCGAAAGTTATGGATTTTAGAAGTTCGGGGCTTAATTTCTGAGGAATCTCGCATGGATAAGGTCGAATCTCGCACGGATGGTCCGGAATTGGCCACGTCACCTCGTCCGAAGTAGTTGCGTCACTGAGTCGTGCCGCGTCCGAGATACGATGCATGTCGCGTCCGAGCCGATGACCCCGTGCCTTCTGAGCCTCGCCCTTCTGTCGCGTGTACCGAGCCTTGCATCAGTGCCAACTGCCCTTCGCTCTTGCTGACACGCGCCTCTCCCTCCTTGCTTCGGATTCGACCCTCGCAAGCTCGCCCTATAAATAGAAGGCCTACGAGATCTTCTGGCTACTTTTGGCATTTTGCCAATTTTCACCCTTTTTCTTATATTTTCACTATTTTGACATCCCCCGAAGCCCCGATATCAATTTTAGCACCCGAAA